AGTGGGCTGGCTTCCCTTCCAGGATCCAGGCCTGCTGCCATTGTGCATGCACCTGCTTATCAGCTAGGCGGTGAGTGCATGTGCAGGGGCAGCAGCTTGCTCTGGGAAGCCATAGGCATTTGAAGCTACAGTATGTAGACAAGGAGCCCATCAAACCCTATTATTTTCACCTAAGCACTATGAAAAATCCCTGTAGCAAACTGGGCTCCATTTGCTCAATCCCAGAGCTAGGCAGTTTATGGCCCCACCGATGTTGCTGGACTGCACAGCCATCATTCCTCAGTATTGACTATGCTGGCTAGGAACGATGGGACTTTTAGTCCAAGAACATCTGCAAGGCTACATGTTGCCCCCTGGTGATGCCGCCCCATGCCAAAACAAGCTGCATTTTCTATATACAAATATATGGCATATAGAATAAAAAGAGCAGATTTCTTTTTTTAGGTGTTTTGCACACAACTGTAAGGAAACCTTTCAGCTTAAAGGGATTAATATATGAATGATATAAATGAAGTTCAGAAGGAAAAGATACTGATTTTTGGGTAGAATGCCTAATCTCAGCACAGTACAGGAAATGAAAAATTCTGATTTTAAAGTAGAAATAAGATTTTAAATGTTGAAATGCAAATACACACATTTACAAATGCAAGACAGATAAAAACCTATCTACACACCACAGAAAACAAATCTATCAGAGTGATTTCCCCTATCCCCACTCACTTAGATCATTATCTAAAATCATTATGATCTAAGCAGAAAAGAAGTAACTTCATAATTAATTATTGGCTTTAATGAAAAACCTTATGAATTAAGGCAAAATATTTAACAATTCAAAGTTATAAACAGAAAAAAAACCCCAAACCTTATTTACTTACTTTTTTCAGCCTGGTAATGTTTGCAGAGTCATTAACAGGCTGCGGTTGGGTGGTTTTTGCCGAAGTGGAGATAAATACGGACTTAGCGGCAAACACTGTAGAGCAGAAGCACAAAGTAACTATTGTGTCTATCACATAAGTTATTTTTTTCAACTCTAGAAAAGAATAATTTGCTGCTGAATCTTTACTACACCATGTTAGTCAATCCAGCCTTTCCAAAAGCCATTCCTTCTTCATGGTAAAGCAACATTTAGAAAGAGATTCTAACAGAATAGCCATGTTCCATGTTTAGGTTAAATGGAATACCTCTGTAGTCTATTGTAGCCAAAACAACAAAGTCTTGTGGGCAGACTAGCAAGTTTTATTTGGTGTAAGCATTTATGGACTCTGTTGCCTGGACAGAGACTGCAGGTAAGAGGAGAAGGTTTAAACCTTCAAGGGTGGGTGACCTAAGAAGGACTGAGGGCCATTTTCAATACTTGACAGCAGCCCGAGGACACACATTCTCAAGAGGCAAGGTTAAAGGGAAGAAAAATGGCCAATGGGGAGCTAATTAACTGAAAAAAAACTTGCCTCATATCCTCTAGTGGCCCAAAAAGAATTATTTTTAAAATAAAAATGATGTGGCTATGATATGACACCAGGCATTTTGGGGGACCCTAAAAGCATGGCAAATGCCACACCCCACAACAAAGGGGCTTTCTGAGTAAAAACATATACAGTAT